CGTATCAAATGGGTGAGGTCAATAAGACTGTTAGAGCTCTAGAGACGCGATTTTCACTCTAACAAATTCGTTGTTAAAAACTTTTTCCACCAAAATATGTGTTTTTTTCTCATGTTAAACGCTATGTTTATTTAGAGCTGCCTTTTTATACTGGATTACAGCCACGACGAAGTGAGTCGACGCATTCCGTACAGCAAACTGCATGAAATACCTTTGTGCAATCCTGTTTATATTATCTGCGATAAGACAACTCCATAAGAGTATTGCGCAAATTTTGCTAACTCAGTACACTGTCATATTCAGAGTGCAAAAAAAATGTTTGTAACGAAACTGTTAGTCACTCAGCAAGCCAGTTAAGGCAACACAAAACTTCTACAACCTGGAACCGCTAAACGGGGCTGCTATGACGCGGAACTGCTGAGACACAAAATCGGTCATTCTCTTTATTCGGCGTTCACAAAAGATCTAAACGAAGCCAATTATTCTACAGCACTAACAGTGTCTTTGCTTGTTGTTTGCAAAACATACAAAATGGGATTGTTACGCTTCTAATCGAACGTCTCTCACTGACGTACTGGAACTGAGATAAAACTTTCCTTCTTCGACTGCAAATATAACAAGACTTATATGAAAAAGAGAAACTTTGTTACACAACTTCTTATCTGCAGAATCTGGGTGAAAGTATTTCCAGATCAACACAACCAAGCCGTCACTCTCTCAATTTTGTGAACTCACAAATAGATATTACCGTGTAATAGTCAAACTATCGGAGTATGAAGAAACGATTGCTAATATTTGTGAGCGCATCTCCTTTGTGGTTTAAGTATCTGAAACCACAAAATCAGAACAGCAGCAGTTCTGCGCTGCTGTGTTCATATAGCAAATAACTGCAGTTATCTAAATATATCTTTAAAAGAAACTTTTTAACACATGTAATCTTAGAAGCGGTGATGGCATTATTAAATAGAGCAACTTCTGTTGTAGGCGACTGAAAGATATTAGCACGGTTGCTTGTCTTCATAATCATGAAGATACTACTCAGAAGAATAGATCGATGAATTTTTAGCACTCAATTTGTTCTAGGAATACTTAAGGGGCTCCGTGACCGAGTGGTTGTGATGCTCGTCACGGCGCACGTGGTGCTGAGCTCCACACCCCACCTATCTCCGGCAGTCATCAGCAACGTCCTATGGAACGCCACAGCACTGCTATCTTTGAGATTACAAGGAGACTCGCTCAACAGTATTCTAGCCGTTCAAGAAGAAGAGGAAAAAACGAATTTAATGAAACAAAATTTATTACATTCAATTTTAAAAAGTCTCCCCATTTGTTCTAAGATGGTGGGCTTCTGAGCTTCACCCATTATATCGGTGACTATTGACATTTATAGGTGTTCCATTCGATTCCCTTTTAGTTGTGAAGATGATCGACAATCATGGTATTGTCGATGTTGAATTACCTACTGCCAAAAATGCCCTTCCAATTAGAAATGGCGAAGTTAAGCATAAATCGGTGACATGTTCAGAGTATTTTCTAAATAACAATAGCACTAGAAGGCAAATACAGACTCTTACCTGCTAAATGCCATATAATGTTAAACCAACTTTTCCAAGATGAACTATCAGCAGGAGAGCAAATGAGTTCGGTTGATCATCCAGAAACCACAAAGTACCACCTGATCACGACGAGTCACTTTGAAGAGTCTGGAGTTATGTATAATGAGATAATATTTGGGTGCTACTTCACATTTAATAAAACATTTGAGTGATAATAAACGTTACTCTTAACCACAAAATCAACTGATGTGACACCGAACTCGAGTCTTCGTAATTGTGATGAAGGGCGCCCGACAAAGCGTCAACTACGGTAAAGATTCGTAACAACCTCGTACAATCCGGTCAGTAATCAATAGAACGAGAAATAAATGTCCATGCCACGATTTAATGAAATGCGCAGTTAAAGACTGCTTGTTTTTGAAAAAAAGGCAGAGAACAGGGCATCGTTCACTGCAAAATGTGGTTTCAGCTGCTTAAACTCTCAGAGTGTGCTCGTAAGGTAATGATTGCTTCAGCACCACATCACTTTTTGGACATCTCACCGTTAATCTGCAAAAGCAAGACATAAAATATCACTGTTTTAAGCGGTATTTTGTGCAGACCTTTTCTTCAAGTTTTACAGATGAGAAATTGAGATTTGCTCTAAAGGGATTCAATCATCTGGCTATTGCCTAGTAAATGTTGTTCCGTGTCGCTCAGCGTCGCGTTTCAAGGAGAATTTCAATTGCCGCGCGCCATGGAGATAAGGATACTCAAATGGTAGATTCAAGTAACAGGGCACATAATAGGGATACAATGATAAAGCTCCTGGAGTTTGTCAATTCCTAAAGGATATGTCATAATATTGTCTCCATTTTTAAACTTTGCCTGAGGTGATTAAATGCACATTTTATCTTCACTGGTGACTCGTGGCGGCCCATCGATGTATGAAAACACTGCCACTCACCCTCCGAGGCAGGTGTGGTAGCATCTCACCTACTCCAGGGATATGGAAGGTTTGATGAGCATGAGTGCTCAATCGAACCATCGACCTTGCTTGCTACGTAGAGCACTTCTAAACACGAGCCGCAACCGCAGTGTAGACCACATCATCACTGCTAAATGGATTAGTTGTGATAATTAAAAACGATTCTGAAATCTTTTGTGCTTATGGTTTATGTTCCTGAGCAAGGATGGAGACTAGTATATCACAATCTACTTCGTCTTGCCTCTGTGGTCTATGTGCGCCTAGCGGGGTGGTGATTCAGCAATATTTGCATTGCAGCGCTGTTTTTTGTGAACGATTCTGGATTATTTCATTAACACAAAAGAATGATAAGTCATACCTTCACTTTTGGCTGATTATAATAATCTTGCTCAGCAACAATAAGTATGGTAATCTGATAATATGTTTTGAGCCTTTCATGAGGCCTGGTGCGGCACCCACATAGTTCTAGGTAACTGTTCTTTCGCCTTTCCAGGCTCATCAGTAGCACGGTGCCTTTCGGTCCAGCCAATCCCTTTCAGAGGGTGCACGCCCTATTTGTAAAGGAATCGACGCCGAATTATAAGCGCTGGACTCTAGTCACTGCGATGTCGGAGGATTTTGTCGCTGGAAAGGACATGCTGACGGGGTTATTGCGCCCAGAGAACAAGGAGTCGTCAATTTCCACAGTCACCCCTTTGCCACCACGATGACCAATCCGTGCTTGATGACGCTGTCTGCGCAGATGTCTCTCATGAAGTAGGGCCAATCACCACGGTGTGTGCAGCGATGCCCAGTGAGGTGTGGCAGAACTCAACGGTAGACTTCTCATATGTCCACTAATAGAGGAAGGTGACCTCACGAGGAACTTCATGTTTGAGCTCTGAGAGAATGTGCCCATTCGGAGTCCCTTGTTCGTACAACATTTGGCCTTGCTGCAGCGCCAATGAGGATTCTCTCCGAAGCTTGCCTTCATCTCGTGGCCATCGGCGCCAATTCTAGAGTCATGCACCACTCCATAGCTCTGTAGGAAAGCGAAAGCGGTTTCTTCGCCTTGGATTCTGTTCATGAAATCCAAAAGCAGCATCATGTTACTTCTGTTCTCTAGGCGCAAGAACCATGCCGATCGTGTCCTTACCCAATAGTGGGTGTTTGGTGGAGTGTGCAGAGAAGCCGATAGTGATTTTCATGCCGCCAGAGAACAAGGCCTAATTGGCATTGATTTTCACATATACGTTCAGATAGTAAAAAATAAAGTCATTCGATAGCAGCAATACCTGATTTTTATAGTGAAATATGATATTTCAAAATGATGTAGGATTCTAGAAAATATCCAAAGCTTTTGTCCAGCGGCAGAAATCCTCTCTTCATCCCGTGTCCTCTAGTGGCAAATTAAGAGGAAGTATAGTAATAGCCATATGGTGTTATCACACCTATAGTTTTGCCATGACCGACTATCTATTGACCGCAGTGTCTTTCAGTAATTCCTTGATTTCTTTCTAAACTAAGAACAAGGTTTTTATAGTATATTCTTGCAGACTGATGACGTATTGGCATTTTCATCTTCTTCAGAGCCTAGAAAGGTCAGGTCGCCTACATCTCAATTTGCCAAGTACTCCATTCTTTCATTAGAAACAAATGGCACTTTTCTGTTGTCGGTTATCATTTTCAACCCTTCGGAGACAATGCGCTTTCTGATTTTTAGAATCACAAGTTATTTGATAGCTTAAATCTCAAAAAGCGATGCTGCTCTGGATTTTAAATAAGAGTCTTTGGGTGCGTAGTAGTGCTTCATACTTGCCAAACCATTCGTCGAACAGAATACGTGAATAGCTGTGTATCGATCACACAATTGGCTGGTCGCACCTAGTATTATGTGAGGTGCATTATGAGCCCATATGATCTCTGCACTGGTGGTCGCTTCTTGAACAATGAGGACTTATAAAAAACGTTGAGCAAGTCTAAAGTTTTTTCTGTGCTTGATGAGACTGAGAATTAGGTTTGCTGAATTTTATTTATACACTCATGGAGGTGGCTGGCTGATTAGGTTGTGAAAACGATATTTTTAGGCTCTGAAGAAGACGAAATCGCTGATAGATCAGCTGTTCGAAAGAACTGTAGTACGTTTTTGTGCTTGGCTCAAAACAAGAATGAGCAGTTTTATTACTCTAGTTATTAGCTAAAAATAAAGTGCTGGGTTTTGACTGTCATTGTATAATGTGTCATGTACCCAAATCCAACCGTAGTACTGTAGGACTGATTGACTCCATATTTGTCCCACACAACAACTTGTGTTGTATAGTGATGCACAAAACTTCTCGCGTCAGGCGGTTTCAGATTTCGATTTCATCATTCAATACCCAATATCTGTAAGCGTGACTGGGTTCACCGTTGATACCGACTACCCGAGCCAGGCAATTGACGGTTGGCAGCTGACAGATAGATGCGTTGTAGTGTGGAAAGAATGGTGTTTAAATTGTGCGCCAGTAGTGCAACGGGTTAGAGCACGCGATCTTGAATACAGTGAGATATGGGTTTGAGTCCCGGCTGACGCGAAATGTCTTGTACATCATTCTACATCGCTGGGTACATCTAAACAACATGCAACCGCTAAAAGCAATTAAACAAAAAAATTTCAAATTTTTGGTTGTCTAACGACGCCAATTTATTGACGTCACACGATGTGAAGAGAGGCGCAACTGAGTTGCGAAATCAAACCAACAACAGCATTTTATTATGCATGGCGTCTCTTACCACACCCACCACATTATTAGCGAATTAACAAGACTAGTAGTAATAAAGGATTCTGCCAAGTATTTTATTGCTACTTCAAAAAAAAGCAGGAAGTTTATTTACAGGGGCGGAAATATAGGACAAATTTTCTTCTTTCCACCTCAAAGCTATGCGCGCTGTGTCGCCTTGCCAGGAACTAATCAAAAAATTCTTCCTTTTGAAGTAGTGACAGCAGGAAAGATGCCAGAAGCATGACGCATGACTGGAAGGAAAATACTTCGCTAGTATTTGATTCGTCCGACTATTTCATTTCTAATAATGCTATGATTGTTTCTGACAACGCCACAATGAATTTAGCTGTGCACTCTTAGAATAGTAATGGAAAATGCAATTGACAATCATCACCTAGAACAACATAAAGCTACAAGCTCTTCCTTTTTCTTTGTTGGTACATCTTATTTTTTGAAATTCGTTTCTAGGTGGACCTCCCTCTTTGAAGGATCCCGCCCGGTTAGTCGCGAGGACAAATGGCGCGTCCCCAGGTGGTGGATAGGGGAATAAACGCAAACCAAAAGCGACCGTGTGCTTCTCAGAGACGCAGGTGGATTCAGGGGACGAGCTCCCTGCTTCTGCAGCGCCGACTTGACAAAAACTCTATTTCTACGAGTCAAGTCGACCAAAAGCCTGCAATCAAGCTGCTGGGAAGTAAATAGGAGGCGGTTAGGAGTCGCCTCCAACAAATAAGCTCCTCCCGCTCCTTCGAGAGAGACTGGCAAACTACTCGTGAGTACCCAGCTCCCACGTTTAGAGCCTGGCAAGCTATACGTTGTGTATCAAAATGCCAAAAATAGTAACAAATATGGGCCTCATTCCCCTGACCCCGGAAGAGCCCCCGGTACGGCAGCGCCGTTAGGAAGAGTGCGGAGAGGCTGCTAAAACCTTTGGGCCAAACTAGGCTACCAAGATCGAAACGGACTAAAATGACGATCTGTACCTACGATGCAGGAATCCTTGCTCACGAATCCGCTTTAGAAGATCTATTGATTCAAGCAAGGAGAATGAGGTACGACGCCATTGGCCTGGCTGAGACGAGAAAGCGCCATCTTTTTCACTCTGTTTATAACACCGCAGAAGAACTGTTCCTTGGAGCATGCGATCGCTGAGGTGTTGGCGGCTTTGGCGTCCTCGTCAAATCGAATTTGACCGTGAGCATTGATTCATTTGAACAACTAACAACCAGTATCGGACGATTACGGTTGAAACGACGCGGTTCTATACTGGCCTTGACAATCTTCGTTGCCAATGCACCAACATCAAGCTATGACGAAGACGAATTCGAAGCGTTCTATATGGACCTCAAAAAATTCTTCAGAAAAGAACACACATTCTTCAAGGTCACTCTCGGAATAACGCAAAAATTGGAACTAGATGAACGTCTGAAGAACGTCACATAGGGACTCACGGACTAGAATGGATTGAACAGGGTGAAAGGCTGTCTGAGTTTATCATGACGACTCAAGCCATCCATGGTAACTCGCCATTCCAAAAGCCTCTTTCCCAGCGATGGAGAGTACCATAACAAAATAGACCACATCTTAGTAAATCAAAGGTTTCGCCTGACCGATGTCGCTGCTCTTACTAAGTTCTACACTGGGTCAGACCATCGCCTCCTTCGCGCAACCTTCCATCTTTCGAGGAGAGGAGAGAAAGCAGCTAAATTCAAACAAAGAAGTCTTAGAACTACCATAAACTGGGATGTATTCAAATCATTAGTCGGCTCTTGGGAAGACACCGTTGTTGACAACATCGACGAAGAATACGATCGACTCGTGAAATATCTTCATGTTAGCGCTAAGAAAGCCGAGAGTCCTAAGGTCACCAAGAGACGCTTGTCTCCGCAACCACTCGAGCTGATACGTCAACGTGGACACGCACGAGCTGCAGGCAACCGAAACCTTGCGTCCGAAGTTGCGAAACGCTGAGAGAAGCGATTAAAGAAGACTTCAAAGAGAAACGAACAGCAATTATGGCAAAAGCTGCCAAAGCTGGGAAGAGCCTTCGCAAAGCCCAGCGAGGCTTTGCCAACTATAAGACCAAGATGATTGCACTCCGATGCCCTGACGGGACACTTACAGCTTCGAGAAGGGCTATGGAGGAAATCATCCACCAATACTACTCGGGCCTCTCCGGTAGCCATGCCCTCTTACCGTCATATAAATTAAAAGAGGACGAATATGTCGTTCCACCCGTCCTCTTTTCCGAAATCAGACATGCTATATCGTCGGTGAAAAACAGAACAACACCCGGTTCAGACAGGATTAGACCAGAACACGTGAAGAACCTGCTGCCAGTTCTCATCAACACCTTGGCTTAGCTCTTCACTCGCTACCTGTCAGAATGCAAGTCCCTGTTCAGTGGAAAATCTGCAAGACCGTATTGCTGTTCGAAAAGAGAGACCTTCACGACATAGGCAATTATCGCCCAATCTGCTTGCTGTCCGTTGTCTATAAACTCTTTACTCGAGTCATCCTAAACAGGATTGACAGAACACTGGAGGAAGGACAGCCATGCGAACATGCAGGATTCCGAAAAGGATTTAGTACCATGGAACACATCCACACGATTACAAAACTCATTGAAGTTTCACAAGAGTACAAATAACACTCTGTCTTACATCCATCTATCTGAAGAAAGCCTTTGATTTAGTGGAAACAGAAGCGGTTATGAAGGCTCTGGATAACCAGGGCGTCCCTACTCGGTACATAATGATCCTTCGTGAGCTTTATAAAAATTTTACGACCAAAATGTCTCCATTCTACAACATCAGAATAGACGTAAGAGGAGGGGTTCGACAAGGCGATACAATTTCGCCTAAAACTATTTACTGCCACCCTACAAAACGTCATGCGAACATTAGAATGGGACGATATGGGGGTGAAAATTGCCTGTCGACAATTAAACCATCATCGCTTTGCTGACGATGTCGTTCTCGTAACACCAAACATCAGCCAAGGGGAACGAATGTTGACCGATTTCGATAGCGCCTTTGAAAAGATTGGTCTTCAACTGAATCTAACGAGAACGATGTTTATGAGGAACGGATGGGTTTCGAATGCCCCATTCACGCTCAACGAACGACAATCTCCGAATGCTCCAGTTACGTCTACCTAGGTCGTGAAATCAACATGATGAACGACCTAGCTCCATTGTTGAGCAGTAGGAAACGAGTGGCTTGGGGAACGTTTGAGAGCATCGAAGATATAGTGAAGAGGACAAAGAACATCCGACTCCGTGCCCACCTTTTGACTCGACAGTTATCCCTGCCCTAACGTATGCAGCAGAAACCTTTTTGCTACGTTAGCAGAATGAAAAATCACTTGGAGTTATCGAACGCGCAGTCGCAAGGTCGACGCAAGGAGTATCTCGTATCTTGCAAATGAGAGAAAGGATCCGAAGTCCGACCTACGTCAGCGATCGAAAATTAGAGGCGCCCTTCTACACGCCAGGATATCGAAAATGAGGTGGGCCGGACACGTGATGCTCTTCAACGAAAACCGATGGACGAGGGCCGTTAGCGACTGGATTCCTCGGAACGTGAAGCGCTCTGATGGAAGACCACTGATCCGCTGTCCGATTTCTTCACAAAAGCGATAGAAGAAAGATATGATCTCAGCGAATCCCTAGAGCGAGGAGGACCCAGTGGGCTACATTTGCACGCGATAGGGAAAATGGAAGAGTTGCTGATTCCTGCTCCATTCACTCGGCGATCAACGGGACGACAGGTGATACAGGTGATTTCTAGAGCCTGATACACGTGTTTCGACCTAGACAGTCTCATCGGTCGAGCGAAAAGCAATTGAATGCACAGCACTGTTCATTCTGTGATATTTCCACTTAGTGGACGGTATGAAACGTTCGTCGTCGCTAACTTCTAGTTTATGTAATGAGCACCTCGCGAGGATTGGCAAAAGCCGACTGATGATACTGTTAAGGCCGAAGCACGTGTATCGGGCTCAGCAAGTCAGCCCTCATAACTGACCACATGACATTTTGGCTCAATTAATAGTTACGAGATATGTTGAAATATGATTGTAGTTTTGAGAAAACACTCGAAATGAAAGGTATTATATATTAAGAAAATGCTGTCCCGCGAGGTGTATTGAAACCCTCAACTTATCAGTTCAGTACATCATTAGTGACCTTTACAATACACTGCCTATGACTTGTACAAATCTTGTGTCTCACGACGGGCTAAGTCCTTAATCCCTTGACGCAGTTGCTTTTCTGCGCACCTTTCTAAAACAGTTTGCTAATTCCATCCCTGTAATGGCAAACTCTCCGTGCTAAATATCTACCGCATAATTGAAAACTTCAGTGAAACTCTGTAGAACTTCTTATTTTGGCTTTTTCCCGAACCTTTCTCAGAAAAAAGAAATTTTGTAAGCGTAGTGAACATGCGAGGCTTATGACAAATTTTTAGGTAAACAAGGTAAGCTATGGCTCTCAAATAATTGTGGCCAAAAACGTTTCTCGCTGAACGTTCTGAATCGGTTTTTTTCAAACATTATCTTCTCCTACAATTTTTCCTCCCGTAAAAGTGCATTTGTAGCACACGCTTCGTCCCAACGAGGTTTTCGTTTATGGAAAGGAGAGTGGGGAATTTATGGCGCAACATCATAATTGGGAAGGCGGGCATCAGTTACAGCCTTGGTTTCTGGAAATTGACGCATCTACTGAATGCACTTTTGAGTGATTCTATTCATGTATCTCACTCTGGTTGGAAACTCGACATGCATTCAAATTCACTAATCGATTTCCGTGC